GAACACCAGGAGTGCAACCAGGTGACAGAGAAGATGTTCCACATTCAATAAGTTTTTTTTTTTTTTTTTTTTTTTTTGGTAAAAACTTTTGAAAGGAAGCTTTATATTTTTTCCTTTTAAATTATTTGTTGATGAGCAACATTTAACTTATGATTGGCTGTGATTTCTCAACAATCATCAGATACACCAAGGACATCTTACCAAGTGAGAAAATTTAGCCTACAAATCATATCAAATGTAGTTAAATTTTTAATGAATTTAAAATTTTACAGTTAATGAAGCATATATAATGTTATGTTTAGTAGACAATTATATATTTATCATTGTCAATATCAATTTTGCAATTTTTTATTTTGTAGCTTTTTTTTTTTTTTTAATGTTTCAAACAATTTTGTCAGCCCCTAAAAAAGTTCATAATCCTTGGTCACTAAGAGAAGACCCAGATGTTGGGGGCCCTGAAGTTTATACAGTATGGCAGCCCTCTTAAAAAAAAGAGTACAAGATTACAAATACAAAATCAGGCATCACTAGATTCCTGGTTAATCTGCCTCTTGGAGGCACTTAAAGTCTATTGGATAAATTGTCCTCTACAGAGGCCACCCGGGGCTCAAGAAGACCAGGTAGGAAGCTATGGCAATAGTCCAGGAAAGAGAAGATGAAAGTTCAAAGATGGATTTTCATCTCTTTCCTGATGGAAACAGAGGGTGAAGGATAGGGAAGACACAAGAGAAATTTAAGAAGCAGGTCAGATAGGGCATGGTATTTGATGAGGAGGGTGTCAAGAATGCATACTGCTTTGACGGCTCAGGTCTCAGGTTTGGTGAATGGTTAAGCACACGACTACTAGTTGAAAGGTTGACAATTCTACCAACCCAGGGGTGCCTCGGGAGAAAGGCCTGGAAATCTGCTTCTGAAAGGTCACAGCCTTGCAGCCCCTATGGAGCAGTTCTACTCCATACATATGGGGTCGCCATGAGTTGGACTCAACTCAGTGTCAACTAACAACAAGGATGACCCAGGGAGTCAGAAGAGGCAATACAGAAGGGGAGACAGGTGGTTGGGTGGGGCAGGCTTGGAAGATAAATGACTTCAGTTTTGGAACTATCAAACCTGATGTGTCTGTGGAACCACCCCAGGTGCCACAAGGTGCGTTCCAGATGGAGATGTATGGAAGCCATCTGATGTACATCTGGGGTTCAAGAGAGAGGACCAGGTGTGCCCTGGACAGCTCTTGGCATGTGAGTGGTCGCTGAGCTCAGGAGTTGAGATTCCCCGGGGAAGTGCATAAATTAAGAAGCGATGCATGATGGAGACAGCACCCTAGCGAAACACCGGCGTTTAGAGGTGGAGATAAACGGAAGAACAAAGAAATACTTGTTTTCTCAATAGTGGTGTTGTGGGGAGGAAAAAGCTGAATTAGGCACAGAGATTGTCAGCTGGGGGTGGGGTCAGGAAGGCAAGTAGCTGGAGCTGGAGCTGGAGGGTGGGGGGAACGGCAGGATTTGGGCTTTCCAGCTGAGGGAAGAGGTAAGCAAAGGGACAAAGCTAGAAAAGTGAGCAGTTCATTCAGACTAGATTATAGAATATGATGGGGAAAGTAGGGAGGGAAAGGGAGAGAGTGAGAACAGCATTAAAACGATAGGTTGGAATTATATTAGGATGGGCTTTGAAAGCCAAAATATGAAAATTAACAATGGGAGCCACTGATGGTTTTTGAGCAAAGGAATTTTACAGTCAGGACTCAATTTGAGGAAGAATCCTTTAGCAGATGTACATGTAACTGGCATTGCAGAGACCAACATAGAAATCTTATAATAGACCATGCAAGAAGTGAGGGGGGCCTGAGCTCAGGGTTGCCATAGATACTGAGGAGGGGATAAAAGCAAGTGACAGAGGGGACCTTCCTCACAGGTTGTATGAATGGAGTAAGTAAAGACAGAGTGCAGGTTTTGAGCTTGGTGGCTGGGAGGTGAGTATAGCGTTTACTGAAATTAATTTGTAAGAATATAAACATGTAAGCCCTTAAGCCTGGAGGGAAAGAAGAATAAAGCAGGAAAAGCGATAGTGCTCTACCTTTGTGTAACTCCTCCTCCCTGTCATCTGCACTCTGATTTTTATTACTGCAGCCTCATATCAGCATGGGTTCACCGCAGCCCATTCACACTGTAGATTCACAGTAAGGTCGTGCTCAGCTAAAATGCCTGCATTTCCCCATTCTGCAGTTTGCTTTGTTGTTGTTTGTTTCTTTGTTTTTGTTTAATCCTATACATAGAACTAGGTCCCTGAGTGGCACAAATGGTTTGCATTCAAATGCTAACCTAAAGGTTGGCAGTTGGAACCCACCCAGCAGCACCACGGAAGAAAGGCCTGGTGATCTGCTTCCGTAAAGATTACAGCCAAAGAAACCCTATGAAGCAGTTCTAAACTCAGTAGCATATGGAATTGCCATGAGTCAGAATCAAACTGATGGCAACGGGTTTGGGTTCTTTTGTTTTGGTACATGGAGAACTCAGCTTTCATCTAGCAGAACCTTGTTTTTATCCGGTGTATGGGATTCGGTTGAGTTTTGCCCCAGTGTCCCCACTTAACCAACCACTCAACTGAGCTTGTTTTAAACTTTCCTGTCTCCCCTCTTGCTTTGCATCACCTCCATTTAGAGAAGCATGCCTTTTGGCCATTTTGCTTTGGTTTTGTGTTAAGAACCAGCCCCTCGTATTCACTAATAAAATGGCAGGCAGGAGGGCATCTTTCAAGCTTCTTTACACTTTCTCCGCTAACACAGATCACCTTCAGATGGCTGGAAAGATTAAAAACAGGGCAGGAGGGAGGGCGAGAGGTAGGTCCTGGAGCAATTCCTTGATGATGTGCTGCAGATCTCCAGAAGGACTAACCAAGAATCCGCTCTAGGTCCTCTTGGAGTTCCCACTGGAAAACTGCCCAGAGCTGCTGCTTCCTGGATCTACTCCTGGTGTTTGTGGAAAGGCTGCTTTTCAAGTCTCCTTTTCTCTTTCCTCAAGGACTGGCTGCTAATTTGCGGGGGCGCTTATTCAAAACTTAGTAAGAATTTCAAGGCAGCAGCCACAGAACCTTAAACCAAGCATGGCCCTTCTGAGTGCAGCATGAGATGTCTTTTACAGCACGCGCCCACTTCATCCTGGACGTGCACACACTCCACCCGACAGAGTCCTCCTTCTTCCCAGCGCTCCTTCCACTTGGTCATAAAAAGTATTCCACATCCTGCTGCTCAGCAGCTCCCAAGCCTGTTCTCGGGGCTTACCATGGAGACTTATCATTAGAAAAAGATTCTCATTCTGTTTCTCTGCTTAATTTGCTCCAACTCCTCTCCAGTTATGGGGGCAGTTGTGGTCCAGTGGTAGAATTCTCACCTTCCATGCTGGAGACCCAGGTTCAATTCCTGACCAATGCACCTCACGCACACCACTTGTCTGTCAGTGGAGGCTTGTGTGTTGCTATGATGCTGATGAGGTTTCAGCAGAGCTTCCAGACTAAGATGGACTAGGAAAAAAAGCCTGGCAATCTACTTCTGAAAATCAGCCAAAGAAAACCTTATGGGTCACAATGGTTTGATCTTCAGCCAATCATGGGGATGGCCCAGGACTGGACAGCATTTCGTTTTGTTGTGCATGAGGTCACCATGAGTCAGGGGCCAACTTGACAGCAGCTAACAAATCTTGGTAGACATTGATCCTCTGGATGAGATTTGAATAGTCTCTCCTGCTCTCAGGAGCCACACGATGAGAAAGATGGAGTGTTGTCTTCTCCTTGGCATCACCATTAAAATGCAATTCCAGTTCAAGGGATGTTATGGATTGAATTGTGTCCCCCAAAAAATGTGAGTCAACTTGGCTAGGCCATGATTCCCAGTATTGTGTGATTGTCCACCATTTTGTCATCTGATGTAATTTTCCTATGTGTTGTAAATCCTACCTCTATGATGTAAATGAGGCAGGATGGAGGCAGTTATGTTAATGAGGCAGGACTGAATCTTCAAGATTAAGTTGTATCTTGAGTCAATCTCTTTTGAGATAAAAAAGAGAGAAGCGAGCAGAGAGACAGGGGGACCTCCTATTACCAAGAATGAAGAACCAGGAGGAAAGCACATCCTTTGGACCCCGGGTCCCTGCACTGAGAAGCTCCTAGACCAGGGAAAGATTGATGACAAGGACCTTCCCCAAGAGCTAACAGAGAGAGAAAGCCTTCCCCTGGAACTGGCACCCTAAATTTGGACATCTAGCCTCCTTGACTGTGAGAGAGTAAATTTCTGTTTGTTAAAGCCATCCACTTGTGGTATTTTTGTTATAGCAGCACTAGATAACTAAAACAAGGGGTAACTCAGAAAGTGGCTAATAGTTGAATTTTTTTCCTGTAGAGCAGAGTCTAGGACAGCCCAGGGACTTTTGGGCACTCAATAGGTATGATCCTTACGTTGGTGAAATCCCTCTTGATAACACTCCTGATCATTAGCGGTATGATTGGTGTTATGATTGTTGTTTTATCTAGATGAGGAAACTGAGGTCCAGAAAAGCTGAGTGACTTACCCAAGGCTGCACAGCTAGGAAATGGCACAGTCAGAACTAGAACGCAGACCTTCTGGGTCCTAGAATAAGCTGTTTCTCCCTACATACACTGAGGGGGATTCTGGTCTCATTTCTCCATTACTTCTGTCCACCTAAAACCAAACCTGTTGCCGTCAAGTTGATTCTGACTCATACCAACCCTATAGGACAGAGTAGAACTGCCCCATAGGGTTTCCAAGGCTGTAATCTTTACAGAAGTAGACTGCCACAACTTTGTCCTACAGAGAAGCTGATGGGTTCAAACCACCAACCATTTGATAGTGGGATATTTTTCAAACTACAGCTTAAGGCTTTGAAGAAGCTTCCATTCTATTTGTATATAAAAGAATAGACTATGATTTCTGCTTTTCTCCAAAAGTAGTAACTTCCAGCTGATTTTTGTTTCTTATTCTGACTCTCCAGTGACAACCCTGCTACCCAGTTTAACCTCAAGACTCACATGAATTCCAGAGATGTGAAAGCAGCCATAGAGAAAATGACCCCGAGAGGAGGGCTTTCTAATGTAGGTATGTGATCTGGACTCAGATAATTCTATCTTGCTAGCATGGTTCTCTTTCTACAGGAGTGCTTTTTAACATCCTATATGTTTTTGTTGTTATTAGCTGCCATCGAGTTGACCCCTGACTCATGGTGACCCCATGCTCAATGGAATGAAACGCTACCCAGTCCTGCATCATCCCCAGGATAGGTTGCAGATTGGGCTGTTGTGATCATAGGGTTTTCACTGGCTGTGTTTTGGAAATAGATTACCAGGCCTTTCTTCCTAGTCCATCTTAGTCTGGAAGCTCTGCTGAAACCTATTCAGCATCATAGCAACATGCAAGCCTTCACTGGTCAGGAATCAAACCCAGCTCTCCCACATAGAAGGCTAGAATTCTACCACTGCCCTTGGACATTCTATATGTTGTTGTTGTTGTTAGGTGCCGTAGAGTCTATTCCAACTCACAGTGACCCCGTGTGACAGAGTAGAACTGCCCTATAGGGTTTTCTAGGTTGTAATCTTTATGGGAGCGGATCTCCAGATCTTTCTCCCATAGAGCTGCTGGGTGGGTTTGAACTGCCAGCCTTTTGGTTAGCAGCCAAGTACTTCATGGCTGTACCACTAGGACTCTTTAACATTCTCTATAGGAGAAAAAAATAATAATCTATCCAAAATGACTCATATTAATATCTGTATATTTTCTAAAAAGTATTATCATTGATTTGAGAATCACTATAATCTATATGCTGCAGAGCCACAGCAATGTCTGGCATTTGAGAATGGCAGCATCTTCAGGATGAGTAGCACTTCTATTGTGGCTCTTTCCTGATTGGCCTACAAGTTATCAGTTATTTAACTTTAAATTTGTAACCAGTTTTATTCAGGAAGCTTCCTAATGCCCCTTGAGAATCTTGTTCCCATCGATTCCTGTTGTAGTGATGACTGTGCAGGAGAGACATGTTCTTGGTTTTAAGCTGAGTCTCTCATGAGGTGTCTGAGCCTGGGTGGGGTGACCAGAAGTCCAAGGTCTAGTCCTCAAAAGGGCAGGTCCGGAAATTTCATTTTATTGGTTCACCCAGAGGTGACCAGGCATTAGGAAACAGTTTCACACTAACCAAGCTCAAAGACTGTCCAAGAGCCCATGCCAATGTATTAATTTATAAATGGTGTCCTGGCTTTGGGGACACTGGGAAGGCTAATTGTCCACTTCTCAGGGAACCCGTTCCTACCATCAAAGTCCAGGGAAATGAAGAAGTGATGCACAGCTGCTCAGCATGGAGTGCACACATAGAGAATAGAACTGTCTTTGGGGGAGCATCCTCAAAGTTACAGTAAATCTAATTAATTATTTCTCTCCCCACTTTAGTGTACATCTATATAGTGACCAGAATAGTAATGTCTTAGGCTGGGTTCTCTAGAAAAGCAAAACCAATGAAATATATCTATGTATATGTAGAGAGAGAGATTTATCTCAAGCAAATGGCTCCGTGGTTATAGAGGCTGCAAGTCCCAAGTCCAAGGGTTAGGCATCAGGCTGGAGGCTTCTCCTGACTCATGTAGCTGCAGAGCTGATGAATCCAAGATCAGCAGGTAAGATGGCAAACTGCTGGCTCACAGGCTGCAGAGGCCAACAAATCCCAACATCAGCAGGCAATACAGCAGGTCACTGGCTCAAGTCCCAAGGACCAGAGGTCAGATGACAACAAGCCAGATGCAGGATCCAGAGTGAGCAAAAGCCAGGGAGCTTTGCCAAAATGTCCATATATGTTGGATGCAGGCCACACCCCCAAGGAAAGTCCCCTTACAACTGATTGACTGATCACATCAGATCACATCATGGAGGTGATTACATTATATCACAAAATGGAGGATAACTACATCATTACATAACTGCCAAACCACTGAGAATCATGGTCCAGCCAAGCTGACACACAACCTTAACCATCACAATCAGTATCTAGCAAATATAGAACCTTGACCTTTGAACAATGCTAAATAAACACTGGCTAAGTCACTGCTGTCCAGGCCCCCAAATCAATAGTGCTTCATCACAAACATGATAGAGTTGATTTCTGATTTGTTTTCAACTTTATACTTACATCAGTGAAGTTCCAATAGTGTACCCTGGAAAAGACTTCAGAAGGCATTTTATTTCTTTGATGAAATTAGTGACATACCTTAATCTAATTGCATGCTCTCACTCTGCCTTTGTATTGATCAAGGTTTGAGTTCAGAGAACAGAATCTACTCTGGCCGGCTTAAGCAGAAAGGGTTTTATTTCAGAGTATTAAATGGTTTCAAGAATTATGGAAAAAGAATTATTGGGATGCCTAAAGAAACAGGCTCTAGGCTGACTTCTCCAAGATGACTTCCTAAAGCTCCCTGTAGAACAAGGTTCCAAAGGGGCCACTGCCTCTTCCAAGATCAGGAAACCACTTCGTGAATTCTGCCAGCTCTGGGCCTTGTTGACAGCCAAGTCAGGAACCTCCTTTAGCCAAGAAGCCACCGTGATTAGGAAGCTGCTGCTACAGCTGCCAGCTCCAGAACAATTCCCTGCCTGTTCCTATTCACATCCACAAAACAGATGCTCAGCACCCTACCACCTCAACACCAATGAAGCTAAACATGGGCATCTTTGCTAACACTGCCACCTAGAAGTCAAATTCTCTACAGATACCTTGTCAGCAGAAAGAGCAGAAACAGAAGTGAAGTCTCTGCCTTACTTCCACCTTCCAAATATACATGAGTGTATCAATTCATGGAATTAAAACAAATCTAGAACCCTGGTTGCAAGGGAGTCTAGACAATGTAGTTTTCCTGTTCCCAGCCTCTGCTCTGGAAGGTACTTGGAATATGTGTTGAGCACTAATTCACTATGGTCTCCAAATTGGGTGAGATTGAGGTGATCTTATGGTTCCCTGTGCTCTGATATAGAGCCAGAGGGAATTGCTGGGTTCCCCTGGCCTTAAAGAAAATGGTATCTTGTCTGAGAAAACAGCTCTCAGAGGCCAAGGTTTTTTCTAGCAACCAGGTTCTATGCAACCAGTTCACACAGGTTCTCTAAGACATTTCTCCAGTAACTACATATGTAACTATTTGGTCTTTTCATTTGCCAGGTAAGACTATACTAGCCAACAGAGCCAGCATGCTGGCCAAAAGCAAGAGAGTGTAATGACAGTAATCCTAACATCTTCAGAAGGTGATTCTTAATTTTTTTTAGATTGAGGACCCTTTGAGAATCTGATGAGAGTTATGGTCCTCCTACCCAGATAAATACTTATACACACAAAATATTGTATATAATTTCAGGGAATTTGTGAATACACAAATACTCTAGCCTGGCTCCCTCAGGCTTCCCCTGTGTCCACAGAGCCCAGGGTAAGAGCCCTGCCTTACTTTTATGAAGCTGTGCTGATTCTAAGGAGACCACTTGTCCCAGTCTGCTAGGGAGGACATGGGCTTTCATTGCAAAACCGGGCAAGTCGCAGGCACACCAGGACAGTAAGTCACCCTAGTTGACTCTGAAATTTTCCTGAGGCCCTGGAAGGTGGGAAATATGCACTTGGGAAGGGCATGGTAGAGAGCCTTGTAACGCTGCATCACCATTGCACTCAGCTGGAGGAGATTATTGCACTGGATGGATATCTAGGCCCAGCTATCTGGACTGAACTACTCAGGGCCATACCGCCTGTAGGCGTTGCAGCCGGGGCTAGGACACAGTCTCCCAGTTCTTGTGAATACAGCTCTTCCCTGGCCAGACAGGCTTGGGCCCTTGGATTAGCACTGCAGCTGTGAGAAAAGATACCACTGACCCCAGAACACAGCCCTCCACAGCAGCAGCTCCTGGAGCACTGGGCTCACCCCAGGCTGCAGGAGGCCAAGAGGCTACTGTCAGTCACACCAGGCCAACTCCTCCCTCCCCACGCCCTTTGAAACAATGTGGGACCAGCTTAGGGGCTTAGTATGGTTCCAGCACCCAGGCAGAGAGGTGACCCCTTTGTTTCCATGAAAGTCTTTCCCACCTGTTTCTGGCCCCTAATTTTTATTTTTTTTTAAAAGAAGAGACCATTAGAAGTTAAAGGCTTAAAATGAAACTGGGATGGGAGTGAGTATATGTGTTTTTCTGGACCTCTTTGTGCAGCTGTCAATTCCTTATTTGTTCTGATGGTGAGAGCAGGTCCCAGAGGAGTTACTTGAGGGCCCAGAAGGGCTGCCGATACGCCCATGAGGAGGAGACAGAGCAGGAGAGGCAGCATGTGCCTCAAACTCGGACAGTCTGCTCTGGGCCAGCCCCAGTGATGATCTTCACAGTAAACAGAAATAGCACATATGGCAATTCATGGGCTGCCCAGCTACACAGGCCTACACCTTAGCTAGGGGATTCAAGTCCCAGCAGAACCTCTGCGTGGCCACATTTGCCTGGTCTGCATTTTCTGTGTGGGCTCCTATCTCCCAGCATCCCCCTGTGATCCCAGAGAAGCAGGGTAACCTGGATGCTTGAGATGGAAAGAGCTTGGAAGAACAATATTCCATGTGCTCAGCCTGGCCTGACTGAAGGAGACAGAAGACATGGCCCTGAGGGTATCCTCAGCCAGAGTGCATCAGAACACTACAGAAGCAGAGCAGCCACGTACAGCTGCACAGGTTGGGCACCATACAGCTCCAAAAGGTGTCACTCTCATAGACATAGGTGTGAGTCCCTCATCTCCTCTCCAGTTGTGTATTACAGCAGCCTCAGGACCAATGTAGAGCACTCCAACCTGGCTCCCTCAGGCCACAGTTTTACATAGATTGCTACATAGATATAGATATATAGATACTGTACAGATACATAGATATCCCTGCCCTCTTAAAAATACAAAAGTGCTGTTCCTCTTCCTTTATCTTCCTTTCTGTCCTTTGCAAAACGGCCACTGTCCCTGGGATACTTAAAACCAAGCCCTGCTCTTTCTGATTATTCACAACACCCTCTAGGGGGAGAATTCTGCTTCTTTGGTTTATTGCTTAATTACATTTTGGGGTTAACTGACGGTTAGTCTTTAAAAGCACTTTATATTTCAAATTAATACTTCCAGCTCTAAGCATTCTAAAACATCTAAGCTTGGCGGGGGTGGTCATATTGGTTGGGCTTCTAGTTAATTTGTTGGGTTTCCATTAATTGAGGTTGCTCCATCCTGTATATGAACACATTAAATCTACATTTCTTTAAAAAAAATTCTGTGGCTGAGTCATAGTATCCTTTGCCTACTAAGACTGTGATCTGTTTCCGTATTTATAACCAGCATGATCATTCCAAGCACAAGTTTTCTTTCTTCCAGGCCGGGCCCTCTCCTTTGTGACCAAGAACTTCTTTTCGAAGGCCAGTGGGAACCGAGGTGGTGCTCCCAATGTGGCCGTGGTAATGGTGGATGGCTGGCCCACAGACAAGGTGGAAGAGGCTTCAAGACTTGCAAGAGAGTCAGGAATCAACATTTTCCTCATCACTATTGAAGGTGCCGTTGAAAAGGAGAAGCAGTATGTGACAGAGCCCAACTTTGCCAGCAAGGTATGTAAATGCCCAGAGTCCACCCAACCTGAGGGTTCCCTGCACTCTGAAAATCTGTAACACCTTCCTTCAAAGCTGTGTTTCACCTTTCTTCAAACATGGAGTCCCTAGATGATGCAAACAGCAATCTACTTCTGGAAAATTGGCTATTGAAAGCCCTCTGGAGCACAGTTCTATTCTGACACACGTGGAGTTGCCATGAGTTAGCATCAGATAGTAACTGGTTTTTTTGTTTGTTTGACTGTTTGTTTTTTAAGCCCACTTCTAGGGAGGAGAGCCTCCGGTGAGGGACTATAAGTCTGGAACCCGGAATAACCCCCTCAAAACAAGATTTCACACCCACTTGGTAAACCAAGGCCAAGCACTTTGGGAAGAAAGTGGAGCAGCAGTGTCCCCAGTGTCACCTAGAGGCTCTCCCTCATTCCTCCCACAGCCCCAGGGGCTAGGGCGGGGCCCCACTGAGCCTGCACACACACACACACACACACACACACACACACAGAGAGATAAATAATGAGAAGGAGTGATTGGACCAGATCAGCGGTTTTCAAACACTACTCCTGGGTTCTGTGGAGATGCCTGTCAAGAGATGGGACCAGAACAGATGGGATGGGAACCTCCAACGCCTGTTGCACAACCAGCTCAGCTTTTGTATGTTTCAGTGGGACTCACAATAGCCTCCCTCCAAAGAAAAGTTCCAGCTTAGAAAGAAAGAAAACCTTGGACTGGTTTGTCTTTGATGGTCTTCCTTCTTTAAATATTCTCCATTTTCAGATCTAATAGTGCTCAATACCTTGCATCATCTCCAACTGCTGTCTATTTCATCCTTCTTGAAATTCTCTTCTCCTTCAAATTCCAGGACGTGGTGTAGCTCCTATTTCTTTCGCTCTCTCCTTTTTTCAGTCTTATATCCTAAATGCAGACTTCCCCAGGACTTGGTCCTTGGCCCTTTGCTCTTCTCTCACTAGGTTTTCTCACCCCGCCCTCACCACCCTGGAACCTGACCCAGGGACTCAGCTTCAGTCTGCACTCAGAACAGCAACTCCCTCTTAAGTCTCCACCCCTGGCCTCTCTCTTGAGCTTTATAGACATCCATTTCCAGCTGATTGGCTTTTCTCCACCTAGATGTCCTGTCAGAACTTTAAATCCTACATTCAAAAAGCTAAATCCATCCTCTTTCCCACCTAAACTAGCTCCTCCTCTGGACTTTCCCGTTTGTATTATGGCATCATGCCCACCTCCCACACAGCCATCTCAGAATGCCTACTCAGCTGCTGAGCCCCGCAATCCCATCTCTTACATCCCTCTACTCTTCTCATGCCCAACACCCCCTCCTCATTTCTAGCTAGTACTCTCTATCTACCTTCTCTCTCTCCTGGGTCTTCCCAGTTCAGACTTAACAATGAAGCCGAACTCATGTTTATGAAGGGCTCCTCCAAGCCTATTTGTTCCTTTCTCCAAATCCATCACTGTTCCCCCATTGCACTCGTTGCCCTCTGGCGTGTCATCCCAACCCACCTTCCTTGCACATCTCCTGTGACCCACACACAGGCCCTGTGCTCCAGCCAACTGGTTTCCCTCCATGCCCAGCAGGCCCCGCTCTCTCCTGTCATGACTTGGCTTAGCTGCCTGGTGGGAGGCCCTCCTCTCCATCCATTGGCTGGAATTCAGCTCAGCCTTCAACACGCATCTCAAATACTACCTCTTCCATGGAAAGTTTCGTGGACCCTATTTAGGTTTTTACAAGCCAATTAAAAAATGTTTCCTAGGAAAGTTCTAAGCCATTTGTTTTTAAATGGTTTTTTAAGTGGTACGGGTTCATCTATAGTCACAAGTCTGTGATTTTCTCTCTGCCCCTGTAGAGGCAAGGGCAAGAAGGAAATGTCCCACCTTAGGAACACTAGCGCCGTCACCTCCTGGAGCACACCAAACAGTTTGTTCGATGTTTATTTGCAGCTGCCTTAATTTTTTTCTGGAACAAGCCTGGGCACAAGTAAATAGGTATTCATTTGCCTCGAGGCAGGGTTGTCTAGAGGACAGAGCTTGGGTTTTGAAGTAAGATAGATTTGTGTTCCAGTCTCAGGGACTTTGAGGATGTTCCTTCATGGCTGGGCCTCAGTTTGTTCCTTCATGACAAGGTTATAAAACCAGAAAACCAAACCCATTGTGTGGAGTCAATTCTGACTCATGGTGACCCCATGTGTGCAGAGTAGACCTGTGCTCCACAGGGGTTTCAAGGCTATAACGTTTTGGAAGCAGATCACCAGGCCTTTCTTCTAAGGTGCCTCTAAGAGGGTTCAATCTTCTAACCTTTTGGTTAATAGTGAGCACTTAACCATTTGTGCCACCCAGGCACTCTGACAAGGCTATACATACAAGGTTGTAATTCCACCTTGCAGGGTTAAGGTGGGGATTTATTGAGAGAATCTGTCCGAGACCATCCAGTGCAGCATCTGACACACGTGGCCACTCCACAACGATGGGACCCCTTCCCGCTGGATGAAGGGCTACTCTGGAAACATTTTCTTTAGTCATTTCTTGTGTGTGTCTTCTGTTTTCCCAATTACAACAAAAGCTTTCTTTAATCCTCTCATGCAGTGGTGCCTACCACTGCCATCTTGTGGCTGGCTGCCAGTACAAATGAGTTGAAAGGCCTGGAGAGGCATAAATATGAAGCTGAAATCAGTGATTCACATCTCCCTGTGGATTTGTTTAGCAGATGAGTCTTTTCACTAAACCCCAGCTGGGGGAATCATGTGAGTCCTGGGATGACTGGAGGGGACTTTGCCCCAGTGAGTGCCTGATTGAGTGAACCAAGATAGAAAAAGAGAGTATTCAGAGAATTAGTGCAGAAAACAAGAGGTCTGTTTGCTTCTTTGGCTGTCCAGGTGGCAAAGGGTAGTGTGACAGGTGGGAGGACTTGCCCGGCAGCCTGGTAAGTGTCCCTCCCCTCTGTGTCTTCCCAGGCTGTATGCAGAACAAGTGGCTTTTACTCCCTCAACGTGCAGAGCTGGTTCAGCCTACACAAGACCCTGCAGCCCCTGGTAAAGCGGGTCTGTGACTCCAACCGCCTGGCCTGCAGCAAGACCTGCTTCAACTCGGCGGACATCGGCTTCGTCATCGATGGCTCCAGCAGTGTGGGCACCAGCAACTTTCGCACACTCCTCCAGTTCGTGGCCAACGTAAGCAAAGAGTTTGAGATTTCTGACACGGACACGCGAATCGGGGCTGTGCAGTACACCTACGAGCAGCGGCTGGAGTTTGGGTTTGACCAGTACAGCAGCAAGCCCGACATCCTGAACGCCATCAAAAGGGTGGGATACTGGAGCGGAGGGACCAGCACAGGAGCAGCCATCAACTATGCCCTGGAGCAGCTCTTCAAGAAGTCCAAGCCCAACAAGAGGAAGCTAATGGTCCTCATTACAGATGGGAGGTCTTACGATGACGTCCGAATACCAGCCATGGCTGCCCATCAGAAGGGTAAGCTGGCCTTGCCAGGCAGTTGGGGTTCTGAGGAGCTTCTCTGGGGCTTGTGAGCTAGTGGGATAAGGAAAGTACTGTCTTTTTATGAGGAGCCCCTGGGTGGTGCAAACAGTTAATGCACTCAGCTGTTAACCAAAATATTGGAGGTTTGAGTCCACCCAGAGGCACCTTAGAAGAAAGGCCTGGTGATCTACGCCTGAAAAATCAGCCATTGAAAACCCTGTGGAGCACAGTTCTACTCTGACACACACGAGGTCACCAGGAGTCGGAATTGACTGTAAAGCAACTGGTGATCTTTTTATGATTGGTTTTGTGACCTCTTAATAAAATGTTCAAAACCATAGAGAGTATTAGAAGTGTAGTTAAACCTTTCAGGCCCCTTTGAACAGTGAAGAGGGAACAGACCACCCACCAGCAATTGCAGATTTGGTGGTGGATATTGCTATATACATGACTATAAGTGCTTCTTGTATATTAATATAGACAATAGAGCACACAAAGGGAACAGTCAGGGAAACCTCTTAGACATAACCAAACACCTCACAGGATGAAGTTCCTAGGCTTGAAGCAAAGGACCATAGACTCAGGGGACATCTATGTCAATTGGCACAACATGGTTCATAAAGACAATGTTCTGCATCCTACTTTGGTTAGTAGCATCTGGGGTCTTAAAAGCTTGCAAGCAGCCATCTAAGATACAACTATTGGTCTCTTCCTGTCCAGAACAAAGGAGAATGAAGAAAACCAAAGACTCAAGGGAACAATCAGTCCAAAGGACTAATAGACCATGTGAACCGTAGCCTACACAGCCCCGAGACCAGAAGAACTAGATGGTGCCCGGCTACCACTACCAACCACTCTGACTGGGATCACAACAGAGGATCCCAGACAGAGCGGGCAAAAAAATGTGGAACAAAAAATCAAATTCACTGAAAAGAACAGACTTACTGGTCTGGCAGAGACTAGAGTAACCCCTGAGACTATGGCCCTAAGACACCCTTCTAACCTGGAATTGAAGCCATTCCTGGAGACCACCTTCCAGCCAAACAATACACAAACCCATAAAGTAAACAATAACACCAAAGAGGAACGTGCTCCTTAATCAATTATACAAGATCAAAAGGGCAATATTTGCCTGAAAGCAAAGATGAGAAGGCAGGAAGGGATAGAAAATCAGGACAAAAGGAAACAGGGAAACCAGGGCAGAAGTGGGGAGAGTGCTGACATATTGTGGGGAATGAAGCCAAGGCCATGAAACAGTTTATGTACAAACTATTGAATGAGAATCTAATTTGCTCTGTAAACTTGCACGTAATGCAAAATTTAAAAAAGAAGAAGAAGAAGAAAGAACAGACCAGGGGGGCAGCAAGTTAGTTTCCAAAGTCTTGTTGAAAACTGAAGACCTGTGGGTGACCGGAACATTAACCCTTTCTTTACATCCTATACCCTAAAGGCATTTTACATGAAATTGTGATTCATTGACAGGGAATTAGATTTATTTAATCTCTGTTGAAGATCACCAGATTGTGTTGGTACATATTAAAGAAAAATAATATTTTTAAAGAAAAATACTATTTTTGTAAGCAACCGCTGACAAGATGTTGGGGGTTTGGAGGCAACCCTAGAGAACTTATTATTCAAAATACAGTCATGCGCCACATAACGTCTATTTGGGCAATGTCCCACAACATATAGGTCCATGGTCCCATAAGGTTATAATAGAGCTCAGGAATCCTGACTGGAGAATGGGACGTAGTAGACATAACCAGACATAGCAAACGCAACAGCTTCCTGCATGCAACACATGTCATCTCATGTCTCTTGTATCCAAAGTGATTGCACTACCAGGCATATAATGGTACAGTACATATATAACCTATAATACATATGTCTTGATAGTCATAATAAATACCTAAGTTACTGGCTTATGTATGTACTGTACTTTCTATTATTTTAATGTGAACTTTCCCTACTTACAAATAAAAAGTTTACCTCGTAACAGTGTATGCTTAGACTGGTAGGCACCAGCATCCAATCTCGTGTATAATGCATCTCGAGTGTTGTAGCATTCTCTCTCTGTTTAATTTTCTTTCAAAAATACCACCATGAAGTTCATCATGGCTTCCAAACACAGCAAAACCAGCACTAGTGATAGCAGCAGCAAGAGGCAAAGGAGCAGTACAGTACTGTATGTGCACAGTGTCTTAGCTATTTAGGCAGTACAGGTACACTACAGTATCCCGTATAGCTTTGCTAAGTATATAATATGGAGTTTACACAATATCCAAATCACATAATATCCTATTTGGCAGAACGTATCATGGATGTTAAGCAACGCATGACTGTTTTTAAAGAAATATTTCCATATAAAAATGTATAAGAGGGCATTAGAAAGTTTAAAACTATGAAAAATGGGCAAGATATTTTTGTAAATGTTTACTAAAACAGTCACATGTATGCCCTTTTTGCAGGATCTATGTATAATCACTGTTTTTTAAAAGTACCATAAAACACAAACAACTTGGAGAATGCCCCATGTTTTAGTAGTAATAGTCATAATAATAGAAGTGCACCAGGTGGTCCGTGAACACCAAGGACCTATAGATAAGTGCTAGTGTCCACTCGGCCATGGTTGGTTGTTTTCTTCTCTGTCTACAATTGAGTTATTTTACAGGATTTTCTGTATTCTTAAAAGCTGATTTAATCCATCCTGAAATGAGGAGTAAAATAAGCAAATAAGCCATAGTTCACTAGCTTATGGAAACCAAAGTAACAAGCCCGGGGTTCAGGCATAGGCTCCTCGTATTTTACCCTTGTGGAGCCTGTGGGGCATGCTCAGCCATGGCAGGATGTCTGATGGCCCACATGCCAGCAGTCACCATGTCCCTTGGGCTCATACCAGCAGAGTGAACATGGTTTAAGGCTCAGAAGCAAGCTGTCCAAAGTCCCAAAGTGAGTGGGCAGAGCTGGAAGGATCAGTTCTAGACGACAAGCCCAGGGTTCTTCTGCTTTCTCCAAACATCAGTCCCCCTGCTCGTGTTCAGCACCACAAACACTTATTTTTCTAGATGGACCTCCTTTGCGCCTAACCCAGCGGGTATCCCTGTCCTGTTTGGCAGGAGAAGTGAAGACTGAGGGAGATGTTCTGGGAGCTATCAGCGGTGTCATGATCTGGGAAATTTTAAAGTACTAGAACCAATAGATACAAGTTGCATGGAGGCAGGTTCCTGCTCAGCCTAACACTAACACTTGTCTGAAAACTAATGAGCATTTCGTCCCTGGGAGCATCCAAGTTGAGGCTGTCAGAATTGCCAGTAGAAAGTTCCCTACAGCACAGCAGACTCAAGGATCTGAAAAGCTAAATTTCTGATACTGTCTGTGTTGTCTTTATCGGGGGCAGCCTTTCCCCATCTTTGAGCAGAAAAGATAGCTTAGTCAGTCTGAGGCAAGACCTATAGCTAAGCTGCCTCCTGCTCCCCAGCCACTTGGCAGTATTTTAAAGCCCAAAGCTGGCTCTTCCCAATCTAGACAATATGCAGAGAAAAAAATTGGAGAGTTGATAAAGGAACTGGGAGAAGAAATGCAGCTGAGTGGGCCAGTTGAAAGCAGCTTACACGAGAACTATGTGGCCAGGTTCAGCTCAGCAGTCAACGGGACAGAGCTCCCAGGAGAAGACACTGGAATCAGGGAGATGGGCCCTTGTGCTTGGGCAGGAGGCCACACCAAGCTCTGCCCTCTACTCTCATGGCACCTCACTCACCCTCCTTGGGCAGGTGGTGGGTGGTGGGGCAGGCTTTTATTGACCAGCTGCCCCCAACTCAAATCAAGAACCATCATACCAGGCATTCTCCCTGCTTTCCAGTAAGAATGGATACCTAGTCTCTGAAACATGTCCTCTCCTCTCTGGGACATCTTGTGAACCCCACCTCCCTCCCTTCTTCCCTTTTACAACCCATCACCTTCATTCCCACTATATTCTTTCCCATCCACATCAAGAATTGCTTAAGTCCCTCCCATCCTAAAAAATAAAAAATTCTCCTTGACCCCAAGTTTTTGCTTCAGTTAACACCTGCCTCCACCACTTCACAGCCAAACTTCTGGAAAGGATTAGCTGTACCTGCTAAGAGAGCCTGAGTCGTTCAAGTGGGTTGCAATTGGCTGCCAGCCTAAAGGTTGGTGGTTCGAACCTACCCAACTGCTCCACAGAAGATAGGCCTGGCAATCTGCTTCTGTGAAGATTACAGCCGAGGAAACCCTATGGAGCAGTTCTACTCTGTAACACAAGGGATCACCATGAGTCAGGGGCCAACTCTATGGCAACTGAAAACAACATACCTGCATCCCCACATCTTCACTTCATTTTCACCTTCAACTCACAGCAGTTCATTTGGTTTCTTCTCTACCTGGTCTCCTGAAACTGCTCTCATCAAGCTACCAATGCCTTTTTTTTTCGTTTTGCTTTTGTTTTTTCTAAGTCCAATGAATACTTTTCTGCTTTTATCTTATGAGGCCTCCCTGAAGCATTCAACACAGTTGGCCCCACCCCCTCATCTGGAAGCCTTTCTTCACAAGATGATGGAGCAGGTGCTGGGTGACCATCCCCCAGGACCTTGTGCAAGGGTTCCTGCACTGGGAAGGAGGTTGGACTCTATGGCTTCTAAACTAAAAAAAAAAAAGAAAAAAATACATTGCCCTCAAGTTGATTCCGACTCATAGCGACCCTATAGGACAGAGTGGAACCACCCCATAGGGTCTCCTAAGCTGAAATCTTTACGGAAGCAGGCTGCCACATCTTTCTCCCACGGAGCCACAGGGTGGGTTCCAACTGCTGACCTTTTAGTTAGCAGCCAAGTGCTTAACCACTGCACCACTAGGGCTCTTAGGGCTTCTAAAGTCACCCTGAAACCTAAAGCAATTCGGGTTCACTGTTTTAGTTAAAAAGATACTGAACTGACTTTGACGCGTTTAGGACTTGCTGAGATCTGGCTTTCCACAGGGCAGAGCAGGCGTGTGCCATGTAGTATGACCTGCAGGGCACCAGGAGGTTTACTTATCTCAAAATATCTTCCCCTCTGCCTGCTCTGGGACATGAAATTCTTGCCATGTATTTACTCTGTTTTCCCTCCAGCCCCGGAAAAGACTAGAAACTGCTTGGGGGCAGCAACTATATCAGTTTTGTTACTATTGGCATATAGTAGCTGTTCAAAAGTATTGAATGAATGAGTGGATGAATGAGGGCCATTTAATTCTAGAAACCTAGGGGCCTGTAGGGAGGCCTTTTTGGCATTTTTGCTTGCACCTGAAGACAACAGCCAGCAAAGCAATCAGAAGGCGCTGCTGCGTTGGCAGTGCCTTTCCCTGGGAACACTTGCTTCACCAAGCCCTTGTCCCCACAGGAGTGATCACCTATGCGATAGGCGTTGCATGGGCCGCACAGGACGAGCTGGAAGTCATCGCCACTCACCCTGCCAGGGACCACTCCTTCTTCGTGGACGAGTTCGATAACCTCTACAAATCTGTCCCCAGGATCATCCAGAACATTTGTACAGAGTTCAACTCCCAGCCGCGAAACTGAGCCCAGAGCGGACAAAGCAGTAGCAAACACTGCTCTACCAACTGGTTCTTTGGACAACCCCAGCGCTTCACGGGGCAGATGCAGGACAGCGAGGCATGGAGGGCTTGGCACACAGACGTGTTCTCGTTCTTCTTTGCCATCGTTTTTCGTACTTCAAAACTTGGAGTTAGAAAGACGATCATAAGTTGGTAGAACGAGCTGAAGTGATATATCATTTTGAGGGTGTTGGGGATTTTTTACATTTTGACAGTTGCTTTAAAAATAAATGTTCAGAATAGAGTGCAGCACTTGTGGCAGGTTTAAGTGGAGCTTTTGTGAGATTTTTTTCCTTTATTCTCACTAGAACTCTGTAACCCTCAACAAGTTTCATTTTGTCATGGTATTGTAGGAGTTGCTTAATTAAATGTTTACCAGGATCACGTGCAATCATTCTGGCTGTCGTGTGTAGTGCCACAGGGTTTGTGGGGGGCCTCCCTCTCTGCCCTGCCCATTTCCAGAGCACCTGCTGTGTGCTCCACCAGCCGGTGTGACAGCACACCCACAGAGCTGCAGAAAAAGTGTGGCAGCAGCGTAGCTTCTCCCAATTTGCCTCCCTTTTCACTACCATCCGAGTCCCTGGGTGGGGCAAATGGTTAACTAGCATGGCTGCATTTTGAGGTTTGAGTCCACCCAGAGGCACCTTGGAAGAAAGGTCTGGCAATCTACTTCTGAAAACTCAGCCATTGAAAACCTTATGGAGTACAGTTCTACTCTGACACACATGGGGTCACCACGAGTTGGGATCGACTCGATGGCCACTGCTGACTGGTCCCTATCATCTGAATCCCTGAGTACCTGTAACATATTACTTCAGGAACAGCTGGTGAAAGGCCCTGGAGGAGCAATGTGATCTTGCTTAAAAGTGGTGTATTAGGCCATTGCAGGCACTCTCAGCCCAGGCTGCACAGTAGAATTACCTGGGGAGTGGGGAAATGCTGATTCCCAGGCTACACCCCAATACCAGTGTAACCTGAGTTTCTGGGGCATGGAGCCTGGGCATTGGTTTTTTGTTTTGTTTTGTTTTTTACGTACTCTCCTGGTGATTGATATGCAGGCAGGATTGAGAACCATGGAGCTATCCCTGAGAAGGCCAGTGTTACAGCTCCTTTCTGGGAGAGTCCCTGTTTATGCCTGTTGTCCAGGGTCCCATCCAGCTTAGCATTTGTCTTGGATCTTTCATTGGTTAACTAAATGTTATTATTAATAATTGCCTTAAAATGAGCCAGGATGGGCTTGATTGAACTCTACTTTTTACCTCTAGCTTCTGCCAGGGGTCATCTGTTAGGGTGTGAGACATGTACAGTCGGAAAACATTCAAAGATCCATAAATAGAGTGGAGCTTGACAACTTTTCTTTTGTAAAAATGTGTGTTGAAGAATGCTACTCTGCAGAGAGGCAAAAGATAGTACCTGTATCGGTTGCTGCTGTTAGCTGCCGTCGAGTCGATTCTAACTCATGGCCACCCCATGTGTGCAGAGTAGAACGGCTCCATAGGGTTTTCAAGGCTGTGACCTTTCAGAAGCAGGTCACCAGCACTTACTTCTGAAGCTCCTCTGGGTGGGTCTGAATTGCTGCCTTTTGGTTAGTAGTGCCGTTTGTGCCACCCAGGGACTCCTGCCTGTATCAATACTTGGGATAAAACATTTACATAAAAAATTGGAATTGAGGATCTTGTCCATTTAGCAGAATTTTCTCTGAGTTTACCAAACCTTTCAGTACATGGGGAGAGAGTATATTATCAATTAAAAATATTATGGTCTACAGAGAAGAATCTACTAAAAGTGTCAAGCAATTTCAAATTTATTACCATAAAGTTTACTTTGAAGGTGATTGCAGACAGTTTTGTTCAAAAACTTCAAACTACAAAAACCATTTTTAAAGAGGAAATTCCTCAAAAGATATCACACTATAAAAGACAAATACAGCTAAGAAACTAATTAACTGAAATAACTACTAGGAACAATTATTCTGCCTATGTTTTTGAATAGGTAGATAATCAATCTAAAGGAGGTTTTAAAAATGCTATTTCAATGTACTCATCTAAGTTATTTTAATTTCTTTAAAAATTTTTTTGTGGAAAATAGTTTTTTAATATAACCATTTTATAGAGACTTTAACGTAATAAAACCAGGGACTCGGACAGACATGGTTGTGGCAGCATGCTTGTCCGTTTTCCCATTCTTGCCTATTCTGTAATATTCTTTGGACTTGGGCAGACATGGCTCTAGCAGCATGCTGGTCCGCTTCCCACTTTTGTCCTTTTGAATATATGCTGAATAAAACTTCCTTTTTGCTTTAAAAAAAAAAAAAACAGTCTGTCATCAATTCATCAATGAGTAAGTATTTCCCAAAATAATATAATTTTCATTATTTTAGTGCCCTCTTTCACTCACAAAATGACCCAGTCTGGAACATAAATTATGTGGTGACCCTAGTTATAGGTATTACGCTTTTGAAGATAAACAAAACCAGTTCAAATGGGCATATTGTCTAATGTCATCAGCAAATACTTGCGTGTATGCCATGTGAAGGAAAGGATCACAGGAAGTGAGGTGGTTGAGAAGCTCAGAGGCTACGGTGTCATCAAAATTGCTTGTGTGGATGTTCAGGTCATCAGAGGTGGTGACAGGAGTCACAACAATAGTGACAGGAGTCACAAAGACAGTGACAGGAGTTAGGGCACAAAGAAAATAGTGAGCCAAGCCCTGGTACCTGCTGGGAAGAGAGAGAAAGTGACTGGGAGGTTGGTAGAAGACAGCAGTGATGGGGACAGGAGGGCAGAGTGTCAGAGAAACTGGGGCCTTTGAAGGAGGAAGGAAGGCAGATAGTTAAAAAGGAACAAAGGGGCAAGGAGCAGACCTATCCCCATTTCAGGCACAGGGTGTGTGATGCTTAATTTTATGTGTCCACTTGGTTAGGCTATGATGCCCAGTTGTTTGATCAAACACTAGACTAGATGTTGCTGTGAAAGTATTTTGTTGATGTGATTAACACCCAAATCAGTTGACTCTAAGTAAAGGAGGTTTCCTTCAGTAATGTGTGTGGTCCTCATCCAGTCAGTTGTGGGACCTTAAGAGCAAAAACTGAGGTTTCATGGAAAAGGAATTTTGCCTCAAGATCGTATCATAGAAATCCTGCCAGTTTCCAGCCTGCTGCCTGGACTACAGATTTCAGACTTGCCAGTCTCCATAATCTCCATAATCCCGTGAGTCAATTCCTTAAAATACATACATGCATACAAACATACATAACTCTCTACATACATTCTATTGGTATTATGTGTGTATAAATATGTGTGTGTATGTGTGTGTATTCTACCAGTTCTGTTTCCCCAGAGAACCATGACTAATACTGGGTGACAGACAACAAACAGCCCTTACTTGGGAGGCTGCAAGAGACAGTCACGTTTTAGTGAGGTGGGGGCAAGAAGATAAAGGGGCCGAGACTTCTGGGAGCTTGCTGACAGCGGAGAAGATTTCTCCAAGATGCAGTGGGAAAGCTGGGGTGGAAAGTGGGGGTTTGGGTCACATCAGGGGGTAAGTTTGAGGTTGAGTCCTGGTGATGATGGATGACATGGGAGGCTTGAATAGAACTGCTGCCTCACTCTGTGCCCAACATTGCTAAAGCAAGACGAAAATCTTGACACTGGCAACAGAACCTTAGAGACAACCTATGTCAAACTCTCAAGTTGCAAAAGAGGAAACTGAGGCAGCTACAGAGGAAGAGGACTAGAATATAGATCTCCCATCTTCCAGGGCCTCCTGTTGACTCACTTGACCACCTTTTGTTAGGGTCAGAGCCTCTTACCCTACCCAGCTCTGCACACCCCTGGGCTCTGGTTCACCTTCACAGGGCTGTCTCTCTCAGCCTCTCACCCCACCCAACTGTGCAGACCCCTGGGCTGTAGTCCACCTTCACAGAGCCTGTCTCAGCCCTGCAGAATCCCTAGCCAAGTCTCCTGAAGCAACTCTCTTTCATTTCATGGAAAAGCTCTTCCACGTCCTTTCTCCCCAAAGGCAACCAAAACAAGCAGACAGGGAGCACTGAGCCTGGTTCTCTGGGTGCAATGGTGTCTAAAACCTACCCATATCAATGTTTCTACCTCTCAGGAATTAAGGCCCTTTGAAAGGGGTTTCCTTGCTAAGACTCGACCTGTTGCAACAAGGCTCTTCTAGAAATTTCTGGCCAACCTGACAGGGTCCAGATGTTTCTTGTTTCTCTGGGGTCTTTAAACCCTTTTTGAACAGGAGAAAACCTCCCTCAAGCAAGTTTTCCAGCGTCAGTCTCATGGGAGCCAGCGTGGGTTTATAAAGAAGGCACTGCTTCTGCTTCCAAGGATTTTCCAGCCTAAGAGACAAGCTTCCAAATAACAGTGTTATTTTCAAATCAAAATCCTAAGAAACGTTCTCCTCTTAGATTACAAATATATAAATGTTTTAAGTAGGAGATATGCTTGAAAGCACGAATTCAATTACTTTGAGGAATTTGCAATCCAGTGGGAAACCACATACAAATGAACAATTAAAATCGTATAATTACTATCATGGGAGCAGGCTCAAAGTGCCTGACTGACGATTGCAAACAATCTTATGAGAAAAAAAATCATAATGCCTAACAATTAGTAGGTGCTGTGTACCAGACATTGTTCTACAGGCTTCACCTGTATTAACTCACTTATCTCAATTTGCCGAGAGATACTATTATTATTTTACAGATTATGCAACTGAGGCATGGAGAGTCAAGTAACTTGCCCCAGGCCACCCCGCTGGTCAGAGACAGAGCCAGGATCTAGCCCAGGTGAAGTGACTCCAGGGTCTGGATCCTTAACCACTTTGCTTTTTATTAGCTACAGTGGCCACATATGGGGTTCTTTAGTAAGTTTGACAATTTAAAGTATGCATAGAATTCTGCATGATACACTCTCAAATCAAAAAATAAATAAACCCTTTACCATGGAGTTGATGCTGACTCATGATGACCCCATGTGTTACATAGTAGAACTGAGCTCCCTCCATAGGGTTGGCTTTTTTTTGGCTGTAATCTTTACAGAAGCAGATTGCCAGGTCTGTCTTCGACGGGGCTGCTGGGTGGGTTCAAACCGCCAACTCTGATGTACTCTCAGTCTATTAAAGGTACAATGTAAACTCCACTTCTACCCATCATTCTTCCTGATTCTCTGAACAGCCATTCTGTCCTCACTTAAGATGGGAGATTTTTATCTCCAGTCAGATCCCTAAACATAGTGGGCTCCCCTATCTTCTTGCGAAACTCCTACTCATCCTTCAAGTCTCAGTCCTAATGCCACCTCCTCTTTGGAGCCTGCCTTGACTTGCTCAGATAGACTTAGGCTCTCTGGACACAGAATCCCTGCCCACTCATTCTCCAGA